ATGGGTTTGATTTCATTTAAAGTTTTTTTTTTAATTTTTAGGTACTTCGTATTCTGCTCAGAAAACCCTTTCATTTGATATCGATATCATGGGGGTGCATAAAAAACCATAGTCCACCATTGTTGGTAGTCCGCCATGTTGGATTTAAAATTACGTCACTTATCTAACCATGCGTTGTCATCTAACATGTATGCAAAATTTCAGTTCAATCGGTTGATGATAACTGCTTTAAAATTCAGTAGCAAGATTTGACCCGAACAAACATTCATACCAACATTGCAACTTAAATAAAAACTTGTAAAATGTCTATGATTCGAAACGTATAGTGTCATAGATATATAAAAAAACTAGCACTGCCCGCGGCTCCGCCCACGTTCAGATGAACAAAAACCAAATTCTTAGGTTTTACATATTACTATACTCTCACAACGCAGTTTTTGTATTTTTTCTCAGAAATGAGATGTTTTCCCGCGGTAAAAGTATATGTTGACCCGGATAACCAGCTATCATCATACCAAATTTCATCAAAATCTATCCAGTGGTTTTCTCGTGATGCGGTAACAGACAGACATACAGACAGGCAGATAAAAGTTCTAAAAACTATAGATTCGGATTCTGTATCGTTAATAATGTCTATTTCAATTAGATTTTCCAAAAAATATTTAATGTACAGATTCGACTTAGTTACAATTTTATTATATGTACCTACAGATAAAAAAAAAATAAAAATAGTTTTTATTGCTTAATCATTTATAACATTTTTTGTGTTCGAGTCTTCCCAGTAAGTAATCCGGAGGATACTTGTGCTGGGAATGGCCCGCTTCTTCCCATATGCATAATCTATGATTAAGTTAGGATTATTGCATGTACAGTTTTACTAATGTTAATTTATTATGTTTGGAAAATTACTATTTTAAACTTTAAAAATTTGCTGAACACTGTCTGTCAAAATATCACAAGCCTGACTGTTTTTAATTATTGTTCATTCATCTTCTTATTAATAAAATCTCACTTTAATTTCACAAAATGAAACACAGCGAAATACATCGACATATTTTTCGGATTTTGCTATTAGATTTTTGTTTTACGTACGTTTTGACAAATTAGAGTTATTATATATAACGAAATAAATAATGAAGAATTGCTACGGCTTCAGATCTCCTTACACTCTACGCACCGCTACGTTGAGAAACCTTGCGTGGCGAAAGAAAATCCTTTTAAACATTATACTCTGCAGGCACATACCGCTAACGTCCTTATAATCTATAAATATAATAAAATTCTAACTTAGTCGTATTTGTCCATTAATTTTTTTTGGAAAATCTTATTGAAATAGTTATTATTAATTATAATAGATATAGAGGCCGAATCTATAGTTTTTAGAATTTTTGTCTGTATGTCTGTGACCGCATCACGGAAAACCACTGGACAGATTTTGATGAAATTTCGTATGACGATAGCTGGTTATCCGGGTCAACATATAGGATACTTTTTACTGCGGGAAAATATCCCATCTCTGAGAAATATATACTAAACGTTGAAACGTAACGCTAGTATATAATATTCTCTTACTTTTTCTATTGTGTTTACGTGAACATTGTAAAAAATGCCACGTACGTTTGTTAAAACATTTGAAAACTCTTTTTATTGAAGTGGTTTTTTTTCAGTTATAAAGGAAAAGAAAAAGTCATTCAAACGAAAATAATAAAAAATATTATTTTCTAAAATATTTATTTTTAAATTACAATTGTTAATATATTGTAGTGAAGTACATCTGGTCCTGAAGTGTCTGATCGCTGGCTGTCTGGTGGCGCTAAGAACATTAGAATATGTTAAATTATACACATTTGTAACACAAAAAAATGTAAGGATATTATAAAGGATAAATAAATTTTCTTAATTATAATAAGAAATTACTTAAGTGCAGTAGTGGTCGTTTCCTCTTTTCAACCAAAGACTAGACGAGTCTTTAGCATAAAAATTTTAGACCAAAAATAATAATTAATCGATATTTATTGTCGTCGTCCATTACATCATTTGACTTAGTATGTAACATAGAAATTTAAGACCAAAAATAATTTATTTATTATTTATTTATAAAATAATAAATAAATAATAATTAATCGATATTTATTGTCGTTACCCATTTGACTCATAATTATTTAAAATATTTCATTAAAACTCCTTTTTAATAATGTTAACTGAAGAAAGGGTTATAGTGAAGGCCAAAGCAAAATGGGAGGTGCCTAGTAAATCTATACAAATACAAGCCTGAAGCGGAAAACGAACCTCCACCCACCTGTTCTACCAACAGTAAGGAAGTATATTTTACGGTACTTTCAAACAAAATACGCTTGTTTCATGTTAACACTTTACAAATTTTAGTAAATCTAGATTTTTATTCATTACCTTTGTTTAAAGAGCTTATCGGTTACTCGTTGCTTGTCGACATTAATGGTTTATTTAAACGAAGTAAATGTTACGCGGAAGTGAAAAGAAAATAAATAGATTGAATAAAATTAATTTGTGAGTAATTCGGGAAGAAATGGCGCTTCCTTAATGCAGTAAGTATCAAGAAGCTAGAGAATAGAAGAAGAAAATTAGATAGCTTTCAAAGCTTTTCTAAGTACAATTTTCTATTATCGGACTTTTTAATTTTAAAAGTGGTCGAAAGTTATGGGGCGTACTAAATAGTGACAGTCAATAAATAAAAGTAATAGGTCAAAGAAATAACGAATAAAAGTGAGGTGGTATCTTTGAGACTAGGTCAAATTCTGGTTTTAGAAAACTGTTTTTCAAGAAAAGAGAGGATAAACGGACAGAGACGTTGGTATATTTACAATAACTAGTTTTCGTAGAAGTTTTCGCACAATGCATGGTTTTCGTAGGATGTTTTCCAATTTGCCGTTGTAGAAAGTTGTAATCATGTTGAAAATGATGCGCTAAATTTCAGCAGTGCGAGACCCAAGAGTCACTTGGTTTTCCATCGTTACCACTGGGGTACCAATGCTTTTTATAATATATTTTATATTATTATTACCAATATATTTTAATATTATAAAGTTTAAAAGCAAAATACTCAGGTATTTAAAAACATATAAAAACATACATAGATGTCTAAGACCTTGAGCTATATCCGACTTTATGACGATACACTAGTGATATGAAGCGAGGAAAACTTATAAAGGCCACTAGTTCAATGATCCCTGCAAATTTATTCTGCTATTAATTCTGGCAATTACTCGTGTTTGTGGCTAAAGCTAATTCAGTATGTTTTGTTTATCATGACCGTGGTGGAGGTTCGATATTTTTATCTAACGACTTCAAAAAAAGGGATGGGGGGATCTCGGTACTCTCATATATTTGTTTGATAAATACGCTAGCAGGTTGCAATGATAAAAATCTATTTCCTTTCCCGGAATAGAGAGCACTCCGCTCTCGTCCTAGTACTCTATCTACCGTCTAGTTAAATACTCATTGAAATCGGCTTAATCTTTCTGGAGAGTAGCGTATAAAGCTTATATTTGTTTTTTTGGGCTTTTAACAATTTTCAAAGTACAGACTTACATTAATTTTATTTACGATTTAATTTAAATTATAAAAATTATAGCAGTGACGATATTGTGAATTATTGACGGCCCCGGAGGTCACAGGTTTTGCTTTCATCCTACTAATATTATAAATGCGAAAATTTGTGAGGATGTTCGTTTGTCTGAATATATAAATGTATGGATGTTTGTTACTCTTTCCCGCTCAAACTACTGAATGGATTTTGATGAAACTTTACAATAATATAGCTCATACATCAGAATAAAACATAGACTAATTTTTATCCCGGAAAAATGTACGGTTCGCGTGGGATAGATTTGTTTTTGTTTTCCTTGAGGTAAACCAGAGCGAAGGGAGGGTGAGCCGCAAGTATAAAATAAATAAGCTAAATTAGTCATTAAAATATAGGACGAGGCCAATGACTAAAAGTGTCGATACTGACGCTCGGCGACCGATTAAAACATAACCGATTTTGATGAGACTTTCACAAATCGAAACAAGGAGAGGTCGCTAGTATATAGATAAATACTTTTTATTATTTTAAAATATGCACACGCATAACTTAAACATTAAGACAAAAATAAACATTTGCCTTCAAGTTAACCGCCTTGAGATATGTTATTAGTAGCTACAAATTGATAAAGAAATAATATTTGTCTTGAATGTCTAAAGACTAAAACTTTAGACATGCCTAAAACTAATGATAGTATTTAAAACTACCTTAAAAATACTATGACGATTCCGAGAAATATTATTTATGAAACTTTGTAGTTTTCAATTTGAATAGCAAATTACTTGTAAAAGTTTTGTTGTTGTAACAAAATGAAATTGGTTTGTTAAAAGCATCTATAAAATGTAATAATCGTATGAATTATTATTATCGAATTAGTTTTTCTACAAACAAAAAGAACTATATTGTCCACATGCCTTTCCTCTCACAGATTGCCGAATTCCAAAACCTTAAGCTTAATATAAATTAAGCTTAATAAGCTTAATAAGATTGCAGAATTCCAAAACCTTAAGCTTGAAGGTATCCCTGTTTTAGCGTTAAGCCGCTCCTTGTATTAAAAATAAATCTTGTACAGTAGATAGCCATCATCATTATTGTAATTCAAAACACTTTAAAATACATTACTAGCGGCATTTTCGGTTATCTTTTCAAATTTTTTATCGTAATCTGTTCAGTAGCTAAACCTGAAAAATTTACAGACAAACCTCCTTCTACATTTGTATTATTAGTATGGATTTGATCGACTGTTTTGTGTTAGACCGATACAATAAACAAATGGACCTAAACTCGAATTTAATCATTATAGAACAGATCTGATGATAAGGCATGTCGATATATCGATAGTATCAAATTATTGTATTTTACATGCTTAAAAAAATTAAAATCGACACGACAATATTATGTAGGTTAAAATTTACATCTCTATGTATTTTTTTTCCTAGTACCTACAAAGTTTGAGAATATAAATAATTATTATTTGAAAATAAAAGGTACTCCGACTTTTCTTCATTAGGGATGTTTAACGAAGAGGAAGAGGTTATCGTGTAACATATAAATACCCTAATTCAATACTCCTTTTTAAAGTCGGTAAATTAAAAAAAAAGATAAATTTATATATAAGTTATCAAACAAGGTTTTACATCGTCATATTCATATAATTTTATTATTAGTCCATTGATGTATTGTTATAACCGTTACGTAAATAAATATTTGTTTATTTAAAAGCAGGCGATAAATGGAAGTCACAACTCGTGTTGTACCTATATTGTAGACCGTACAAAGCGTGTGATGCGGACTCTATTTAGCAGCTTGTATGTGGGAGGACGTTAGTATACAAAGACAGATGTTATTTGGATGTGGCATTTATGTATATATATTTAGATTTTATACTTTAAACATGTTTTTATTAGTTTCGCTTGTAACTATATAAATATCATATCTTAGAAGTAATTCTAACCTATTTGATTTGCAACGATTTGTGATTTTGTAAGTATATGAAATTCAAATACAATAATTTGATAGCAAGCTTATGACGGGCCAAGACATGGGTAGTATGATGTGTGATAGTGATGGAGTGGAACTCTCCATTGGTTATTAGTACAAGATCTTCGAATTAATTAATTAAATTAAGTTCGTTTTGACGAGTCCTTGATGTTTATAAAAAGTGTGTTTTTTTTTAGTTCAGTAAAACTGTATTATATAATATAATACAAATGCCATATTCCAACACTCGGCTAAATGCACGTTGCCCGACTTCACACGTCTTTTAGAATTAGCTAGATACTCTCGCAGACTCATAGATTTCCTCATGATGTTATTCGAATTGGACAAGAGATGTCTATGTGACAATTCATTGTTTTTGAAAGTGAGCCCGGTGTTAATGGTAGCCATTGGTATGTTTTATATTTGTTAACTACATAAAAATATGTACCTAGCTAAAGTTGCCAGAATTAAATTTAAAAGTATTTTAAAAGCAGTGTCAAAATATGTTTTTCAATTATAATTGACGCATAGAGCGAAAACGAATATTGAAAAGCAAAAATTTTATTTTTATTTTACATAAAATAATTTCTATAATACGTATGATATACATATATATACAAAAATAATATTAAAGAATTTCCTCCTCGCTTCGCAAAAATTCTTTATAATTAACGACAAACGATTAATACTTTCACATTTGTAGTAGGTGTTATTACTAAAAATTGAAGTATATATATATATAAAATTGAATTTTATAAGTATTCTTTACTTAAGTATAAAAAACTGTGCTTATTTATTTAATAAAACTTTTTAAAACCAGTTTGAGGTTACTTAATTTATATTTATAATGTTTTTTCGCATACGCATATAGGCTGATAAGTAAGAGTGGCATGTCGTATGTAAATCACACTCAATAATGGTTTCTGTATTATTTAAAGATTTTGTATTTAACATTTTTTAATATTAAAATTATATAAAAAATAAATAAATTTTTATAATAAAACAACGTGTTTCGACTGAGATGCAAGAACGAAGAAGTTTTTTTAATAGAAATCACAGAGTACATACAATTGAATATTTCACATAGTTTGTCACAAGATGGCGCTAGTTGCATCTATGTTTTGTTATTTACAACACTCCCACTCAAAATATAGATTTATTTCAATTTTATAAACTTAAAACAGATTCTTAAATAAAAGAGACTATACTTTAACAATTCCTAAAGCATCTAAATGTTTATAATGTTTTACAGCACTTAAACTTTTGGTTAACAAATCTGCTGGCATATCTGATGTACACAAATATTTAACATTAACAATATTTTCATTTATCATTTCTCTGCAATAATGATATCTGACATCAATATGCTTAGTTTTATTATGAAATACAGAGTTTAATAATAACTTCTGCGCACTCATACTATCATTATACAAAGTAATACAATACATTCTTTTAGTAATTTCATATTGTAAGTTTCTTAGATATGCTGCCTCTTTGCAGGCCTCTGATATTGATACATATTCTGCCTCTGTGCTAGAAAGTGCAATACATTTTTGTTTACTACAGCTCCAAGATATAACAGAACCCGACAGTATATAACAAAATCCTGAATATGATCTCCTATCATTAACATCATTACACCAGTCTGCATCAACATAACCTACAATATTAATATTCTTATTCTTACTATATTTCAAACCTAAATGTTTTGTCTTTTTTAAATATCTTAATATTCTTTTAGCATAAACCCATTGTTCATCAGTATTACAATTATTAAACTGACTTAGATATGACACAGCATAAGCTATATCGGGTCGAGTAAGCACAACTAAATACATTAAGCTCCCGATCAGCTGTTGATAGGGATTCTGACTATTACAATTATCCTCCTTTTTACATTTTAAATTTATCTCCATTGGAGTATTCATTGGTTTACTATCAACCATATTGAACTTGGACAGTAACATATCAATATATCTCTCTTGACTCAAAGTAACAGTACCATTTTGTTTATCAAAATCAACTGACATGCCAAGACATTCTTTTACAATCCCTAAGTCTTTTAACATAAAATTCTTACCTAACATACTCTTAAGATGATTAGTTTCACTTTCGTCATTAGAAAAAACAAAAAAATCATCAACATACAATGTCACAATGGTTTTGCTACTACTGCCAACACATTTTAAATATAAACATGGTTCTATTTTAGATTTAACATAACCATCTGCTAACATACAACTATCTACTTTCTTATGCCATGCTCGGGATGCCTGCTTAAGACCATATATAGCTTTCTTCAATTTTAGAATTTTTTTATCATTTGTACAGCTATAACCTAAAGGTTTTTGCATATATATAGTCTCTGACAGATCACCATTCAAGAAAGCGGTTTTCACATCAAGATGAGTTACATTAAAATTCAACTGTACCGATAAAGCAAATAATAACCTAAGTGTTGTATGCCGCACTACAGGAGAAAAAGTTTCTATATAATCAACACCATATTTCTGAGAGCAGCCTTTAGCCACAAGCCTGGCTCGATATCGCACATTATTTTCAGCATCACACTTCTTCTTGAGAACCCATTTGCATTTAACAATATTGCCATTTACAGGAATATCAACAATTTCCCATGCATTGTTGTCTTCAAAGCTTTTCAGCTCTTCCTTGACAGCTTGTTCCCATTGCACTTTCTCTGGTCCTCGCAGTGCTTCTTCTAATGTCAGTTCATTGCTGAAGTATCTATCCTCTGTGCACATAAATCCATACCTGTCTGGTTCTCTTCTCTGCCGTTGTGGTAATGTCCTTACTATGGTGTTCGATTGCAACTCTTCTTCAGATGTCGACTCCTCTTCTGGTATATAGGTTTCATCCTTGTCATTTTCCAAAGAAATGAAAGAATCCTCTCTACTGTGGTCTGAGAGCTCTCCCACTGAAGGCAGATGTTGCCTGTCCTCTATAGGTTTGTCATCTTTCTCTTCAACTTCAATCATATTTTCTTGATGAGACAATTTTTCTTTTATGATGATGATATCTCTACTAGTTGTAATACCTTTCGTTGACGGATTATATAACCTATATCCTTTGACATTCTCAGGGTAGCCAATCAGTATGCATTGTTCAGCCTTTTTGTCCCATTTATGCCTCTTCTCCTTGGGTATGTGTATCATGGCAGTGCTACCAAAAATCCTTAAGTGACTTAGGTTTGGTTTGACCCCTGTCCACAGTTCGTATGGGGTACGATTCTTCAATCTTGTTTTTACAATTCTATTCTGTAAATAAACAGCAGTGTTAATGGCTTCTGCCCAGAACTCTTTACCAAGTTTAGCATCGAACAAAAGACATCTGGCTTTTTCAATTAGCGTTCTGTTCATGCGCTCACAAAGCCCATTTTGTTCAGGTGTGTAAGGATTTGATGTTTGATGCATTATACCTGCTTTCTTCAAATAACTATCAAACTCTTTGTTACAAAACTCTCGGCCATTATCACTTCTAAAAATTTTGATTTTACTTGATGTTGAATTCTCAACTTTTGCTTTATATTCTTTAAAATACTCTAAAGCCTCATTTTTATTTTTTAAAAAATAAACATATGTCATGCGGCTGTGATCGTCAACAAAGATTAAAAAATATCTAGATCCACCTATCGATACATTCTCCATCGGGCCACAGATGTCACTATGCACCACTTCCAACAGCTTAGTGCTCCTATTACCTTCATGAACAAAAGGCAAACGGCTTTGCTTACCTTGACAGCAAACTATGCAATTGGATTTGTTGATATCGGCCGTCCCAATAAATTTGACACCCTCCACAGCATCCTGCATTTTATTCATATTAAAACTATTTACGTGTCCCAGTCTACGATGCCAAAGTTCTGGTGATTCTGCTACAGCTGCCAACAAACAAGTAGAGATGTTCAATTTGTAAACACCATTCACAAGCAATGCAGTAGCTACTAGAATATCCTCTTTGTTATATATTTCACATCCTTTGCCAGTGAAATGCACCTTGTTGCCCTGCCTTATTAACTGGCTCACTGACAATAAATTGGTAGATAACTCGGGAACACACAACACCTTTTCAACAGTTATGTCAAAATTACATTCTTCAGTCGACGTGGTTATGATTACATTTCCACAACATAGTACTGGGATTTTATTCTGATTAGCAATCATGATTTCTTTCGTGAAACCAGAATAACACGTGTCAATCATCCAATCTTCATTGCAAGTCAAATGCGAACTTGCTCCAGAGTCGATATACCAGTCACTCTTATCAAATATTGTGTTAAAAAACACGGCACTAAACGCATTACTTGTTTTTGACGATTTATTTTCTGTATTCTTATTATATTTATCTTTGTTATTATTGCATTGATTACGATAGTGGCCATGTTGTTTACAATTGTAACATTTGACATTTGGTTTTCCTTTGACAAATGTTGACGTTGGCACTACTGCTTTTCCGCCATCTTTATGAGCCATAGACTGTGCACTCTTTCCATTCTTTGAACGATGAATCTGATTTTTGCGGAAACATGCGAATGCATTATTGACGTCATTACGGTCACTATCTTCCGGTTCCATGTCCATTAATTTCCCTTTAATGGCGTCGGATGTGATTATAATGCCTGAATGCTCGATGGCCATTATCATGGGCATATATTTTTCACTTAGACCTGCCAGCATGATAGATCCAATCCATTCGTCGGTAATGCCAAATCCCGTACCTTGTAATTTCTGTCCAGCTTCAACAATTTGTGTTACATAAGCTGTCATCGAAGTGCAATTTTCCAATCGAATAGATATTAAATTCCTCAGGAGACTAATTTTTCTTGTAAATCCGGAGTCATCGAATAACATCTTCAATTTATCCCACAATTCTCTCGATGTTTTAACGTTTTTTATATGAACGTAAAGAGCCGGGTCGATTGTTAGTACCAGCTTAGCTTTAGTTTTCGCGTCATCTGCAGCTACTGGTGGATGACCGGGCTCAGGTTTTATACACCCAACCATTCCTTCCAAAACCAGAAAATTCTCTGCCGCGAAACACCACTCACTGTAGTTCTCGCGCCCTTGTAATTTCGGTACGCTAACTAAATAGTTCGAACTGGACGCCATGACTGTTACACACGTTGTTACTTTTATTGAAAATACGGTTTTTTGCTCACTGTTCACTTTACACACAAGTCTAATGGTAAAGATACAGTCTATTGTTCATCACACTGATAATTCTAACAATATCTAGCTATTTAACGGGACTGGGCCCATAACCTATAATAAAACAACGTGTTTCGACTGAGATGCAAGAACGAAGAAGTTTATTTAATAGAAATCACAGAGTACATACAATTGAATATTTCACATAGTTTGTCACAAGATGGCGCTAGTTGCATCTATGTTTTGTTATTTACAACAATTTTTAATAAATATGTTGGGACATTAACACACAGTTCCATGGTAAGCTACGAGTCTTGAGTTATGGATACCAGATTTTTGATACACTACACATATATAACTTTTTAAATACATATGCTATACGTATATTTTATAAATATAAAGACCCATAACTGGAGGACAAACATTCGTGATCAGCACACAAATGCAGCCCCAGCGGGACTCGAACCCGCGACCGCAATAATCTTCTTCTCCCTGCCCATTTTCCAATCACTTGGGGTCGGCGCAGTACATCTTCTGCACTGCTGATAGGATTTGGCAAAAGTTTTACGACCGGCCACCTGCCTGACGTCAACCCTCCTTGGGAATAATATACTGCAAAATGTCTTGACTAATTCCAGTCAAAGCAAAAGCCTGTCATTAGTTAACTATGTAGTATGTATATAAATAATAGTAACATATTAAAAAAACGATTGTGGCCACCGCGTGGCACTCGTTATCTCCATATAGAATTCTTTACTCCGAACGTGAAGGCTTAAAAAGAGATATCGCTAGGCAAAATACTCGCGCTTATGAATTCACCATATGTTATTAGTGTTAAATGGATATTATTTCCTTTTCCCGTTGCAAAGTAGCATATTAAACGTCGTTGTTAAGACAATCTGCTTGTACACATGCTAAGGTACATTAAATTATAAGAACGCATGAAGTGAAATTGTAATTTTAATATTTATTGTTACTGCGAAGCTTTATTCCTCATAATTTCAGACCGTTTGGTGCAACAATAGCCAATAAACATACAATAATTTATAACATGCGTAAGCGCATACAATATGACTGCGACTCCCTACAAAGAAAGACATTCTCATTGCTTATTTTTAAAAGCCTTTTATCCGTAATAAATACATATGTATGTATTATATCTGGATTAGTATTGTACGGTACATATTTTATGTGATTCTTAGCTAGTCAATATATTTAATTTTTTATATGAAAAAAAATTTATAGACTAGCGACTCACTCTAGCTCCTCGGGTTCATCATCTTGGTACCTTTTAACGGTTAGTAGAGATTTCTTATAGTTAAAATATTTTCCCGCAGTAAAAAGTACATTTGTGTTGCCACGGATAACCAGCTATCATCATACCTCATCAAAATCTGTCCAGTAGTTTTATCGTGATGTGTTCCCAGCAGATAGACAGACAAAAATTCTTATAACTATAGATTCGGTATCTGTATCAATAATAAAGACTATTTCTAAAGATTTTCCAAAAAATATTTAATGTGCATATTCGACTTCGAATTTTATTATACGTATAGATAACGTCTGTTTTATATGAAATAATTATCGGGCTTGAATGCATGAGGTTAGTTTTTAGCAGGTTTTTAATCATTTATTTTATATTAGTTTTTTTGCCCGTGACTCCATTCGCAATTAGACTTGGATTAAGAAACGATTTTTAAAAATCAGTTCAAAAGAAGTGAGAGAGAGAGAGAAGAAAGTTAGCATTGAAAATAATTTAAGTCGAATAAAACTTCATTATTGCTCGATAAATGACATATGTTATATTTTAAATAAAACTATCTTTTCTGATTATGTCGCGGATTTATTTTGATTTTTGGTTCCCGACGTTTCGAATGCTTTATAATTAAAATCAAAATAAATCCGCGACATAATCCGAAAAGATAGTTTTATTTAAAATGTCAAATATTCGAGTAAATCTAAGAAAGTATTATATGTTATATTTTATTTCTCAAAATTTAACCTCTTAAGGGTGATACAATATTTGTGTATGACAAAAGAGTACGGGACAAGACAGATACAGGTTAGTAATATATTATATTGCAAATTGTTTAGTAACTAATAATTATATCACAGAGTATTCTTTCATATCATTCAATCATTAGTCCACCAAAGTTAAAGTAAAAATTTTCATACATTTACACATTTAATAAGAACACTTACCGTATCAATTCAACGTTTCATTCGTACGTCAGTGTGACGAGTCGTTGAACTTATCAGTGCGAAATTGTCGAGGCTGGGAGCGACGCGTGCTCGCGACGGCAGAAACAACGATGTACGCGGTCCAACCACTGCTTGTATAAAATATGCGATAAAAATATTATTGATGTTGATTTACTTTAAAACGTTTCACATTGGGAGGTTTTTCTGCATTTATTAGTGCATCGATGAAATAAACTTACACAGATTAGTAAAATATTTTTTGAAAACAAAAAAAAAACATGTATGAAATATGGACAGATAGACAAAAAAGTGACTTTTGTAAACAAGTATTATAATGTCACAAAATGATAACATATCATATTTATTCATGAAAACTAATTATAATAGAGAAATTGTATTTATTCATAAATATTTATATGGCGCAATGTATTGCTTATAAACGATCTAGCAATAAGGTTGGTTGAGAAATCGATGTATGTTATAGTTAGGCCGTCTCGGACACAAGGTCGCCCGACGCCTACATTTATAAATACACAGACACGCAAAAATGTGGTACAAAAACATACTCATACAAAATACTTGGATTTGTTTAGGAATCTCTTCATAGCCTAACTTGGTAGAGCTAACTA